TCGACTTGTCATTTTGAGAATTTGTGTCCCATTCAGCGGCTTAAGGTCCCGAACAGCTTCGTAATGTGTATTATGACTTGCATGTATGGTCGAGTTTGGTTTTCGGATGATTCAGGATTCAATTGATAGATTAATTCTTATTTTAGAAGCTTAAGTGAAAAGAGTCGACCGGAGTTTGACTTTTGTGCAAACGACTCCGGAATGGAGCTTTAATGATTTCAATAGCTTCATATGACGGTTTCAAACTTAGGCGTATGACTGGATTTGGATTTGGAAGTCCGTAGGACAATTCAGCGCATTTTAGCGAAAATTGGAAAGTTGAAGTTTTGAAATAATTATAAGTTTGACCAAGGGTTGACTTTGTTGATAACGGGTTCAACTTTCGATTCCGGAAATTGGAACAAGTTCATTATGTCATTTATGACTTGTGTGCAAAATTTAAAGTCATTCCGGATTGATTTGATACGTTTCGGCACGAGTTTTGTAAATTGGAAAGTTTGAAAATTCACAAGTTTGATTCGAGGTGCAATTCGTAATTTCAACATTGTTTGATGTGATTTGAGACCTCGAGTAGGTCCGCAATATATTATAAGACTTGTTGGTGGCTCCGATGAGTTTCAGACAGGGTTCGGATTGTTTTGAGCCTTATTGAAGTTGCTGGTGTCTTCGCACCTGCGCATGAGTGATCGCGGTGCGTGCTCGCAGAAGCGTGGAAGTGGTCGCAGAAGTGACCTAGGAAGGCTGGCTGGGTAGGCTTCACAGAAGCGGAAAATGCATGCTTTAGCAACTTCGCAGTAACGAGAGGCTCGTCGCATAAGCGACTATTTGCGCAGAAGCGAGGAATGCCTCGCACATGCGATGGCGCAGAAACGGAAACATTTTCCGCAGGTGCGAGGGTTGGGCAGCTGCGTGAAGTACGCAAATGCGATATTTGTCTCGCAAAAGCGAGACTGCAGGTATGAAAAAAAATTGTCCGCAGATACGAAACTGGGCAGAAACATAAGGGATCGGGGTTGGTCATTTCTTCATTTCATTTTGGATTTTTGGAGCTCGGTTTTGGGCGATTCTAGAGGGATATTTCACGAGTTTGTCTTGGGTAAGTGTTCTATATCCGAAAGTGTTTATATTTCATGATTCTACGGTTATTTTCATCAATTATTAGTGAATCAAATGGAAGAAATTGAGAAATTTATAAAATCTTTCAAAAAAAAAATGAGGATTTGGAGGACAATTCATTGTTGGAATTTTGATAATTTTGGTATGGTTGAACTCGTACGGGCGTTCGGATTTCGTGAAAAAAATTTCGGGTTTCGAGATGCGAGCCCCGGGTTTACTTTCGGGTTGGCTTTTTAATGTGAAATTTAAAGTTGACGTTTTATTATCTGGAATTATTTCCGATGAATTTTACTGATGTTATATAATTAATTTGGCTAGATTTGATTCGTCCGGAGGTCGTTTCACGCGAGAAGGCCATTTTGGAATATCGGCCTAACTTCGAAAAGGTAAGTATCTTGCTTAACCTTGAGTGAGGGAATTTACCCCTTAGGCATTGACTCGTATGTGGAATTTGGTGTAATGTGAAAGCTGTGTACGCGAGGTGACGAGTACGTACTCGGGCTTATATGTGCAAATTCTATTGGCTTAAACTCTTAGGCATCTTTATGTATTTAATTAGAAATTATTGGCACTTATTAAATCCTTTATTTGCCATGCCTCATTCCTTGCTTGCCGAGTTTGTTTTATATGATAATTTGGTGTGGTAACTACTTGGATTTTTAGGTAAATTCTGTGTTTTGTTAAGTTTTCATTTAGTGAAAATACTTTCATTATTGATTTTTCATCTGCAAATAACTAAATAAAAATTTAAAAAGAGGCATTAATCTATTTACCTAAAATCTGGATTAAAGAAGGCGTTATTGTTTGCTGAGTTACTTTTCTATCCTTGTTGTTATTTTTGATATTTTATATATGTTGTGTGTGGAGCCGTGGGCTATCTGTTGTGAAATTATTTGATTTTGTTGTACCTTTGAAAAGGTTGTGGCCTATGGGCAATTTTGTGATATGAGTTGATTATATTGTGTTGTTGTGATAATATTCCGTGCCAATTATTGTGTGGTTTGAGTTATTGTTATGCGGCGTATAAGGGTGGCATTCCACTGTTGTTATTATGCGGGTATAAGGGGGAATTTCACGGTTGTTATGTGTGTTGAGATATTGTCTGGACGGAGTGATAAGAGTGGCTATTATACGGGGCAATAAGGGAAGCTATTATACAGAGCGATAAGGGTGGCTATATGAGAGATAAGGGTGGCAATAAGAGCGATAAGGATGGCTATTGATATTGACTGGGCGGAGTGCTGCGGGTGGCAATGTCGGGGATGATATGTGATGATGCGAGGTTATTGTGTTAGTGATTTTTATGTGATGATGTGGCGTTATTGTGTTGGTGATTTTTGTATGATGTTGTGATTCTCCTTGTGTTTATTACACACTTTGTGTAACTTGACTTGTGTTTTCGGTAAGCTAGTTGATATCCTTGATATTTCTTATTGATTTGGGATGCAGTAATACACTTGCATGTGCATACACTATATCTTTTAGAAATGGATTTGAGCGTAAATGGCTTTCTGTTTATTCGAAAAAGGCCTTGTTCTTTGGAAGTTCTACCTATACTAGCTCACGAGTACGTAACCTGATAATTATCTGATTCGTGTTGAAATTGTAGGCACGAGGTGTTGTGGGTATATAATGATTATATTATTGGCACATAAACTGTCCGTGCAAATGTGATATAAAATATGGGCACGAGGTGCCACGAGTATATAATGATTATGATATCGGCACGTGAGCTATCCGTGCAGTTGTGTATGAGATGTGGGCACGAGGTGTCGTGAGTAAATGATAATTTTATTATTAGCACTTGAGTTATCTGTGCGGATCTTACATATTGATATCTTAGCACGTGAGTTATCCGTGCGGTTGTGATAGAGATATGTGCACGAGGTGTCGTGAAAATATGAAGTGGGTTGAGACACGTATTTTATGTGTATGAGATGAGGTATCACAAAGTGACTTTGTTGTGAAAAAACTTGTATTTGAAAGACTTGTTTAATTGACTGTACTTGTGTTCCTTATTTAGTTGAACAGTATTTATGGTGTTCTTATTGCCTTGGTGTTTATATCACTTGTTGATTCTTGTTGCCATTTTTGCTACTTGTTTTCCATTATTAGTGTATACCGCTATATTGCACAGGTTATTTGACTAGTGAGTGTCTTGATTGTACCTCGTCACTACCCCACCGAGGTTAGTCTCGATACTTACTGGGTACCGACTGTGGTGTACGCATACTACACTTCTACATATTTTTGTGCAGAGCCAGATATTAGAGATATCAGACTCGGGCGGAGTTAGTTTGTTGATCGCAAGGATTCAAGGTAGAGCTGCTTGGAAGTCGCAGTCCCTTGGAGTCTTTCCATTTTATTGTGCTGCCAATTACTATTCGAACAATATTGTATATTCGGTCCTTGAGATTATTTCACGTATTCACTTAGAGTTTGTGACCCAGTATTACTAGTCATGGGAGGTTGTGATAATTGTTTCCGCTTTTGGCTTCGAGATTTATATTAAATTATATTTCAAAAAAAGAAGAAGCTTGAATTGTAATTGTAATCGGCTTACCTAGTTTTAGAGACTAAGTGTTATCACGAGGCCTGTGGTGGAATTTTGGATCGTGACACTTTCAATTTATGTTAGAATAATTCAATCAAAGAACGTCCATGTTCTTTGACTCGCAAAATCGGATAAGATATAATTCACCCTCATTAATAAATTCTCCCATTAAATAATTATGCAACACAATTTTGTACGTTACTTAATTGTATTATCCGAATGTATACAACAATGATAATAGTTGAATCATACTATTAAGGTATACTATGTGAGTCGTACACCCCAAAAGTATACAACGTGCATACATGCTAGGCATTTTTGTTAATATTTTTCCTAAATAAGTATGTATGTAATATTTTAAAATATATATTTTCCAATAACTAGTTTTGGTTGTATGCGCATGTCCGATAATTCATTATAATTGGTTCGAATTTTATTCCATAATTACTCCTAATTCACCATAGTAATTGATAAGAGGAATATTGTTATCGCAATATTTTAAGAAAAAAGAAAAACTGTAAAAGTACATTGTAATAAGATATTTATATTAAGAAAATAGCATAAGAGGCAGTAAGATCCAAGAAATATTGAAATATAACAGGGAATGTGAGTAATTCATAAAATTATTTTTCAAAGTGAAATTCATATTCCCACACAAAACCAACTATCAAATACTTTTTTATTAATCTTAACTTCAAAGTCTCTTTTTTTAAACTCCAACCAAATATTGTCCAACTTCCTACTAAAAATAATATCAAACCAACAAGGAGTTAAATTTTATAACAATCTGTAACAATACCGAACTTCCTCACTATATTGATAAGAACTGGAATACTGATTACAACCTTGAGATATCAATTGCAACACTCAAACTAATGAATTATAATGAAAACTATTGAAATAACAAGTAACTAAGGATAGAGATAAGAATGGGGATGAGAAGCAGAACTCAGCAAAGGGGATGAGGGAATCCAGATACTTCATAACATTTTGCATAATCTCAAAACTGTCGATGAACCCCTTTTATCCATTTGTCACGTGCTTCCCTACTCAACCTGGAACCCAAGCAAATCTCTTGTTGGGCTGTCTAATTCCTTGGCCTTTTTGCAGTTTAGCCCTCGGCCCAACAACTTGGCTAGCCTCGGTCCAAATAATTGGCCCATAAGCATTATTGGAGTTGTCCATGTTCACAACACCATCATTGGGGCTATATGATAGTTTTTGAAACTTGAGGTGGTTGTATGTTCCGAGCTCAGTGCAAAAGGGACCAAAGTGATATATTCACTTTAATTTCTTATGAGTATATTTTTCAACAAAATTGTTTGGAGAAGAAGAGGAAAAGAAAAGAAGTTCTGAAACAATGAATCAAGAATCGTCCCAGTTGTCATGTATTAACCTTTCCTCTGTCAAAAATAATCAAATATAAGACAACCCAATTCAACCCAAAAGCCATTTTTCCGTTTCTCATTCTAATTTTCTGGGATAAATAAGGAGATGAAGAAGCAGAACATTGCTATGGAAACTGAAGAGTTTTTGGAGAAGACAGTGAAAATCATAACAAAGATGGGTTCTTTATTTCAGTATCAAAGAGCAAATTTTGCATTACTAGAAGTGAAAATGGTTGAGGGTTTACAGAGGAATTATAAATTTCAACTCAAACAATTCTTGGCAGCTTTTTTCTGGTAAAGTTACAATCTGCACTTCTCTTTTGTTCTCTGTTGTGTTAATTGTAGTTTGTTTGACTGAAAATGATATTAATACATCCTTCCTTTTGTGGCTTATGCATATATTATCATGTGTGATCTTTTTCTTTAATTATAGAGTTTACTTTGTGTAGTTTGGGAGAAAAATTGAGTTTGGGAGAAGGGTTGATTTTTGAGTATTTTAATTTTATCAGACTCAAGTACATAATCAAGTCACTATTAGTTAAAGTAATACACAGTCTGCTTTCCTTGTGATATACTATTATTCCTTGTCTCTGCTCGGACATTCCAAAAATGTTGCCACATCCATGTCTGGTCTCCCAAAATGCACAACTTTTGGAGGAACCGACATGCATCCGACAACATTTTTGAAGAATCCAAGCAATAACGTTAGTAGTAGTCCATCTATGTTGCTTCGTCATTTAAGTAATAAACCATTTTGCTTTAATGGAAGATTATATAGTACTCAACTAGTGCCAAGACTTTATCACTCCAACAATCAGTTTACTTTTTTGGACTAGGTGCTTAACTGAGTTGACCATTCAAGTCGAGTCTCTTATATATTTCTTCCTGTCAGCTCATACAGTTATTCTCTGGAGTGTAGAACTCTTCGCTTAGTATTTCAATCCCTACTAAGTTGTGGTTTGTGATTTTCTCTAGATGACCTTGACTCTTCTTTAAGTGTGGCATTTCCTGTAGCCTATCGTTGACTTACTTTTGAGTCTGGTGTCGCCAATTAGTGAGAAGACCTGGATCACCAAATTGGACATTCTTAAGGGTATTGCAGCAACCATTGATAGGAATGAACATTTCAGATACATTTGTTGGGTGATTATAACCACAAAAATGCAGATGAAGTACATGGTTGATGGGCCCATCTGGCATGAATATTATCTCAGGATTTGCAAATAGCCAAATACTGAAGTTCAGTATTTGCAAATACTAGTTTGGCCATGAGTATTTGCAAATATTGAACTTCTGCATTTGAATTTCAAGTGAAATATTCGAATATTGATTGGAAGGTGTATTTCAAGTGAAATATTGGTTTCCACAAATCTTCAAGTTTCACAAATTCTTTTTCCAAGTCAAATTCATGTCCATAACAATTTGAAATTCCTGAAGCTTTTTTCAACTTCATATACTCGTTTTTCATCAACTTCAACGCAAATATTATCCATACATCTGTAGAGAAACCTGTTACAGAGATCTTCTAGATTGAACAGCTTAGACCATATATAAGTGTACTTCCTAGCATTGCATCTCGCATTGTCTCAAGTAGGTTGAAATTCCTATGATGTTACTATCCGCCGCGATCTCTGGGCTCCAGAGGCAGTTGATGTTCTGGCAAACTTCGCTTCGATTTTTTCTGAAGCTTTTAAACCAACGAAGCGTAGCAGATTCTTTATGTCGGTTAATACACCTTTAAGTGCAGTGAAAAGTCAGTTGCTAATGTCATCAACAATCCCTCTTCATTTCAATTAGAACTTGGTATTGATGTGTTTAGAAGATCTGGAATTGATGAATGAGGAAAAGTCCATTGAGTTTACAGTCTCTTTATGAAGTGATGCCCAAAAGGAGAAGTTATTTCCTTTACCTGATACCTGTTGCTGGTAGGAGGTAGCGGGTATCCTGAGGAATTAGCCGAGGTACGCGCAAGCTGATCTGGGCACTACGGTTGTCAAAAGAAAAGAAGGAAAAGTTATTTCCTTCTTGAATGGATGTCGGCGAGGGTGAATTTTGAACCTCGATTCCCTGTTAAATTGATGTTGCTTTACATAGCAAAGCATATTTGAGTGGATCGGTGCAAGAGGCTCTACGACTCTTAATTAGTCTCCTTATTGAGTAATGAGTAGTTCTTGGAGTTTTCCAATTTTGCAAGGAAACAAACTTTATCTTTATCTGCATTTAATAGGAAAGCCTTTCAATGTTGGCCATTTTGTCTTCTTCTTCATTTTGACGTTTTTGGGGCTGATTTGAATTTCATATTGTAATCTAATTTTAATAATAGTGATTGGAATTGACTTCTGTCCTTTCTTTTGTTTTTGTGGATCCAAAACCTCTTGTTCTTTCCTTTCTAAAATTCTACCTCAAAATCTCGATACTTTCCTGGTGGATTAGTCGAGGTGCGTGCAAGCCGGCTCAAATGGCCACCGTTAAGAAAGAACATCAGAATCTCTATGCTTAACATACAATTTGGAAAAGCTTTCTTAAACTTAAAAATATTGTATAAACTTAAGTAATCCATAGAAGGAAATAGTTGTCAAAAGTCAAAACGTACTTAAATTCCTATCCATTCCATTTTGAAAAAAATATTAGTCTTCATTGAAAAGGGAAGAAAGTTGGTAACGTAGGGAAGATAACTGTTGTTACTAGTGAAAGAGGCTGGAAACTCACGACATGTGAAATGGCAATTGAGGCGGCTTCATTTTTTTTTTTTTGAATCGATTTTGTGATAAGCTAAGTTGCTTGGACACGGGTGCGGGTGTCCGACACGGGTAAGGATCTAGAGGTCAGATCCTTCGAGATGTAGTATGGATCCTACAGAGATACGGGTGCAACGATCCAGCTAAAAATAATTCAAAAAAATAAAAATATAAAATATCTCTAAATTATGAGAAATTTTGTGTAATACTTACGTATAACTTGTAAATTGTGGATTTCCTTTTTATTCTCAAGTTGTAGATAAGTAAAGGATCGATTTTCTAGATAAGATATGCTATTTTCTTCAAATTTACCCTAGTTTTGGTAATGATTTCGGGAATCAAATTGTAGTTCGTCTCGAATTTTTCCGTCCATCATGGTCAAAGTACCCAAAATTGTTTGACCAAATCCGGTACGGATCCCATACCTATACCCATACTAGTGTCGTTTCGACACGGGCGCGGCACCTAAACTGCTGTGTCGGAGCAACTTAGGTGATAAGTAGGCCTTTTAGGACTAAATATTAATTTGCTAACTCATTATCTTCGCATAATGGTCACTAAAGTGTCCTCCGTCAACTGTTTGGGAGAAAAATTTAAATTATTTGTTGTTATAAATTTCTTTCCAATTTTTGAAGGATCTCCCCCTTCAAAATTCAAATATGATTACCATTTTTCTCTTCGGGATATCTATAAAATTTGACCTCTTAAGGTTCAAGAAAGGACAACGGTAAGAAAAATCTTAGAAGAGGCGAGCCTCCACGACAACTCAGAAGGTGGTTCGCTTATTTCTCTATGCCAATTAGTGTTTCCTATTGTTTTTTGTTGTATAGTTGAATATCAAAAGTTGAGAAGCCATTGATCTTGCTATTGATCCTATTTTATGTGACTAGGGTGCAAAAATGGAAGGAAAGGGGAAACAGGATAGCACTGCCAATGTGACGAATGTGAACAAGAATTGTGTGGACGTTGGAGTCATCCCTAAACAGGAAGTGCTGGTTGATGATCAGCTCTCTGGTGCGGATGAAGAGCTGATAATTCTTTATCTTGACAAGAAAATGATGGACCAGCCCTTTCCCAATGACACTATTCATGAAGTCGACGTCTTCTTGTACCATCCTCAGCAGCTTTCTCGTATAGTTCTCTCTCTCTCTCTCTCTGTGTGTGTGTACTGGTCAATATCTTTCTTTTCTGAATGTTCATCATGTGAAAGGTGTTTTTTTCCCAATTTAATTTGTGGATCCGTGGTATCAAACATGCTCTGCTTTAAGTGAAAGTGCTTGTTGAAGCGTTGGTCTTATACAATGAATAGCTATCTGACAAATCTGAGCAACTTCAGTTATTAGATTGTTGCTCTTAGGGTGAGTTTGATATGAAGGAAAATATTTTTTGAAAAATGTTTTCCAGTTTTCTCATGTTTGGTTAGCTTAAATGTTTTGGAAAATATTTTCGTCATGAACCCATTTTCCTCAAGAGGAAGGAAAGCGTTTTTGAAACTTTTTTTTCAACCTTTCGTACCCTATCCCCCTCCCCACTCCCACCCCACCCCTTCCACCCCCATCCCATAGTTTATCTAAATTATATATTTTTCAAAAAAATATTTTCTACTCACTAACCAATCACTAAAAAATATTTTCGAAAAAAGTTTTCACTCATCGACCAAACATGGCAAAATAAGTGATAAAACTGCTCATTTTCGAGAAAAGCATTTTCCGCCATACCAAACACACCCTTAAAGTGTAAACATTTGGAAAGACTAACTTTTCTCCGAATTCAGAGAATCTTTTTTCTTGCAATGATGTATCACGTTAGGAGGATCTATTTGGAGCAACAAAGAAAATGCATCATGGAGCTCTAGTTACAGCATATGATTGTCTTAGATCCCATATAAGTTTTAGGTTGTGAATATTTATTTATTCCATTAGCCGTAACAGGAAATCCCAAAGTTAAGGTTAGACCTGACAATGGTTTTTCATTTTTTTTTCTTGTTTTTGATAAATATCGATGTCTTCATTGCCCACTAAGATCTTTGCTACTATAAGAGAAGCTCGGTGCTGTTGTCTCTTATAGTAGCAAAATCAAGAATATTTTTACATCTCCAATCTTATTAGTGTCATTATCGATCTTTGTCGTAGTGAAAAAAGCTAGTTTCATTTTGACAGAGATGCACCATCCATCTCACGCGAAAAAATGGTACTTTCTGAGCCCAGCAAGCAAAAAATATACAGAGGGAGGTCAATCTAGCAGTGTTAGCGTGTACGATGATGGATATTGGGAACCTTGTGGAACCGATTCTCTCATCCACAAGGATGGTAAACTGATTGGATACCGAAAGACACTAAACTACATTGAGGGGAAGCATGATAAGGATAGGAAGAGGACTGAATGGCTAATGCATGAATACAGACTGGAAGGAAGCAGAGATGTACCAACTTCTGATGATATGCAGGTACGCTGTTAAACTTATTCTAATTAAGTAATAGTTAGACATTATACTTATTTGCAAGAGTTGGGAGTTTAAATGGGCTGAAGCTCTATGGTCTCTTATGGACGTCATACAAGGTATAAGAAACTAGAATTGGATGAACATCAATGGACATATCCTGTTATAATTACATTAGCGGATGCATGTACCTGTTTCATTTGCACGAGATCTAGTTCCAAGAAGCTGATGTGCAACTACTCTTCGCAGAGTTGGCGTACAAGTGGGAGAAGAAACTAATTTTAAAATTCCCGTTTTAGCTTCTGCATTTCATTTGATGATTAATTATAGGTTGGTACTAATGTGTTTTGATTTTCTTCCCGTTGTAAAAGCGTGTATTTTGTAAGTTATTCAAGTCGAATAACAAGCTCATGGAAGCAGAGGAGAAGGAAGCGACCAAATTTGCTGCTCCAAATGATGGGGTATCTAGCGCGGACCCCACCATTCAAGGTAGTATTTAGTTTTTGAGGAACTCCTCGAATTGCTTGATCAGCAGTGTGGTATTTTTTTCAGCTTTCGATGGAACTAATGCAAAGCCGCTGTCTCAGCATCATCAGGAAATAATGCTTCCCTTCTTTTCTGCTTGCAGGCCCAGAGAAAGCAAATGTCATAACTAATGATAAGGGGCCGAGTAATGGTCATAGCCGTGATTTACTTCCTATGCCTGATACTGATCAGGGAACCACGATGCCTACCTCTACGCCTCAACATGTTCAGGGAACTACGCTTACTCGTACAGGTCGACAGAAAGCAACAAACAATGTGGTTAGAAATAAGCGTCCTAGACGTAAGCGTGATTCACATCCACCGCCTGCATCTCATCAAGGCCTTATGATGCCACACCTACCGAATGCAAACTCTCAGCCTCAGCGTGATCAGGGAATTAGGCTTCCACCTCCTTTGCCTCAAAATGATGAGAGAAAGGCGTTTCCTATTCCTACAGGGCCATGTAAAGCTAACAATGGTGTGGTGGTGAGTGACAACGGCCCAAGTAACAGCCTTGTGGTACCTTGCGGTCCCGAATATATTCTTGATGAGCCCAGCTTTGATTGGACCGTGGCCAGCTCTTGGCTTCAAGATGATATTATGCTTCCTTCTCGTCCTCAACATGGTCAGGAAACTATCCTTCCTTCTCTTACAGGGAACAACGCAAATGCTGATGAGGTTAGTGTTTTGGGATTAACACTCAACCATTTCCATGATGCGCAGGATCTTCCTTTTTCTGCTGAACTCCCTAAACTTCCATCGGTTCAAGCCTCACCCCGCGGTAGTCATGAAAATGAAGCAGCTGTAGCACCGAGATATGATGGGTGGCCGTTATATACTGCAGAAACTAGACTGCCACCATTTGATGGACCGTTTGAGTCGTTGACCGAAGAAGAATTGGCCTTCTTTGATAATCCTGATCCTGGATATCCAGAGGCATTTGAGAACAAGAAAGAGGCCAAGAAATGATTGAAAAGGAAGAAACATGATATGGCACATTTTACTATTTCTAGTGGTTTTAGTTATTTTATACAAACTTTTAGTTCATGATTAAAGAAGGTATGAAGGCAGTAGATTAAGGTTTCAGGGCCAAATAATTGAAGAAGGCCTTCATACCCAATTATTTCATTTTTTTTAGCAATTACTATCTTTATCAAACAATCTATTATTTCAATTTTTTTTTTTTTTTTGTGCTTGGTTTTTATCATGTCATTGTTCTGATTATCGATACTGCCTTTTCCATTTATTTTTCTGATTCTTAGGTTGATGGCACTGTCTTCCTAATGTATGTGGCTATTATTGTTCCATTGCCTCTTTTTCATCTCCTTGTGCGAGGGTCTTTCGGAAACAGCCTCTCTACCCCGGGGTAGGGGTACGGTCTGCGTACACACTATCCTCCCACCTCACATGTGGGATATCACTGGATGGGGGTAAGGTATGCGTACACACTATCCTCCTACCTCACACGTGGGATATCACTAGGTGGTTGTTGTTGTTGTTGTTGGTTTTTATCATGTCATTAGAAAAAAACATTTGATGTCAATTAGATAATGAATAAAACAATTTTTTTTTTGTCAGTTAGAAACGAATAAAGTCCATATTCATTCTTGTATTAGACAATAATGTATATTTTCCAATCTCTCTAGGTTTCTGAGATTAATAGTAATTGAATCATGTATTTCTGTCTTGAAATTTATAAGCAAATATGCAATAGTGAATATAAACATGATTAATAATAGTAATCTTGAATAGAATTAAGATAATGACAAATATTTTGGATTAATGTAATATAGAAATAATGTCATATAAATGGAATTATTAAGTACTAGCAAAATTATTAAAAATAACAAGACAAAGTATAGTTATCACCCTATTTCGAACAATATTTCATTTATATTTTAATTATAAGAAGTTGTACTTATATTAATTTTACGTAGTTTCTAATTATTGAAATTTTACTTTAATAAAAATATTTAAAAATTAATTTCTGAATAGAAACTCAAAATGAAAAAGCTTGAGCTTCGTACTCCGAAACCTCATTCTTTTTTTTTAAACGGAGGGAATATATTCCATTCGTCTTATTTTAACTATCGCTTTAGCTCAGAAAAATTATCCCAAAATAATTGTCACTTTAAGAATTCAAGACTAGATTTGCTACTTGTTTCCAACTATACCCTTAATATAGAAAAAAGTAGTAGTTCTTCTTAATACTAGCTCAATTCTCAAACAAATATTTAATAGGGATAACTAAGTAAATTATGCCTTGTTTTTTTAAGGGGCGTAAAAAGAACTAAAGCAACAATTAAAATGGGACAAAAAGAGTATTATTTAGCTTGTGGAATAATACTTTTCTTGTTATAAAATATTATTTTGTAGTGGATGTCTATAACTCCTAAAGAAGTTACTCCCACTACTCTTCTCCATTATGTAGATAACTCCCACTACTTCTCACCATTATAGTTGTAACTCCTACACCTCCATAACCTCCCCATGATCTTACTCCATGATCTCAAATGTTTAATGTCATGTTTATGGCATTCTTTTGTATGCCTCTATGTAATCCTATAAATAGAGGATTTTGGCATCACATTGTATACACTTGAATACATAGAAGAAATAAGATTCTCTCCTCTCTTCCTCTCTACATTGTTGTCTATTTTATTGTTCTATATTGTTACTTTGAGCTAAGTTTCGTAACACGTTATCAGCACGAGTCTCTATCCAATTGAGTTACTACATCTACAAAATTGTCTTACATCAGAAAAAGCATATGTCTGCTGTGCCTGATATTCCTCTGGAAGAGATGAGTTTTTCTTTTCCATTTAGCAATTTCAAATAATGGTATGAAATATAATAAAAGGAATATCAAGGTTGAGGAGACTAGTACATCGTGAAAAGGCATATAATGCTAAGATACGTTTTCTAATTTTTTTTTAATTAATTCATTTTCTTGTTAGTTTTTCTCAAAGGTTCTTTATTTGTCGGAAAAGTTTCCAATACTAAGTATTACTTTGTAAAATGGAAAATACTTAGATGTAAATTAATTTCTACTCCATGTTTTTCTTTCTAATATTTATTGTAAGTTTAGTCTAATCTCTTTCACCTAATGTTCAGGTTAGATGTTATATGAGAATCAGAAGCATATAATGATGCAACTAAATGTTACATACTAAACCAGAGACCAAAGATGTACATAAATTAAGGAGCAACGCCAGCTTTTGCAAAGTGATTTGAAGAACTTTGATTCCTTTGTTACCGGTAAATAGATACTTATTGTGTAGCACATATATGAGTTTACTTTTATTACTATTAAAAGTAGTATACCATGAAAGTCTCAAGGGTGAGTCTACTTTGGCATATTATGCCATTAATTAAGGATAAGACGGTGGGTTCAAGTCCCAACGCACCATGAGGGTAAGACATCAGGTTTTGAGTCCTGATGATCCATGATTGTAAAAGTTGGGTTCGAGTCCCAACTCATTATGGCCTAACATGTCTTTATATGGATAAGGCATTGGGTTTGAGTCCCAATGCACCATATTGATGATATAATGATGACTAAAGAAAAATAATATATTTTTCATGAAAAAGCATAAAGTTTGTCCCACTTGATTTGCTCCATTCTTGAAGTGAATGTGAAAACGGTGCATAATAAGTCTAAATAAAGACAAGTGGTTGACCAATGAACGTGGGCGTGCCAAAGATCAAATAATAACAGTCATCATTATGGTAATTGTAAAAAGGAGAACGATAAGGGTTCTCAAAATGGTCCTTCAAAGGTGAAGGAATATGTATCAATGTGGTCTGTTAATACGAGACACGTTCATATGATTATAGTCCATTCGTTGAAAATGTGACTTGTGATAAGCATTGTAAATGCAGACTCATTCCTGAAAGTAAATGCTGAAATATATATGTGATAAAAATTATGCATAAGAATGTGCTTATGCATGGTTGGATAAATACCACATTTCACCTCTAAGGGAGGTTTGAGAGAAATAAAGATAATGAATATTACAATATGGTTACATGAATATGTCATTGGTCGCGTACACGTGGTACGCCAAAAATATTTTACCATGCCTTATAAAAAGTTATTAAAGGCAAAAGTAAAGCAAGAAATGAGTCTTGTCTATAATGTTTTTGATTGTGACAATGATAAGATAATTTTTTCCGTGGAGGAAAAATTCACCACTTGGATGGTGGTATAAAAGATCTTGTAGTACAAAATTATTGAGAGCTCCGAAAGAGCGAATTTGTTACTACCGGAATAAATAAAATTATTCATGGCATTGGTGGTAGTAAGTCTCAAAAAGGAACTTTTTGAGTTTCAAATATATTAGCCAAAGTGGTTGGCATATTGAGACTATAAATGAAAGGAAGATTGAATATCTTCATATTACTATATTCATACCGGGTAAATATGAAAGGTTACCCGATTTTTCTTCTATTTGTACTACAAATGTATAAGCATCATGATGGAATCACATGCCATAAGTAAACTAGAGGTTTATTGAAACAAATATTAGTTGGCATAACCGGTTGACCATCCCGGTTCAATTATGATGTGAAAATTGATTGAGAATTCACATTGGCATATATTAAAGAAATAGAAGATTCTTTAAGAATTCTCTTGTGATGTTTTTTTTCTCATGATATACCAGTTAAGGTTGGGATTGAATCCCTTGATATCTGGAACGAATAAAAGGTGATATATATGTATGGGCCCAATCACCTGCCATGTGGATCGTTTACTATTATATGATTTTAATAGATGCATCTATTGTATGGTCACATGTGCGTTTGTTATCAACTTGCACTTTGGTTTTTGCAAGGTTGTTTGCTCAAATTATTAGAGCATAGTTCCAGAATATATATTATGATAATTTATCTTGATAATGCTGGTTTAAATCTAAGTTGGTTTAGCAGAAATTGTATACCTCCAATTATAGCTAAACCATTGGTTATGAGAACAAAACTCCAAATAGAAATTTTGTATTAAGTATATTATTTAATATACAACAGCACTTGTACGCATCTAGCCAACAAGTTATGATAAATTCTCCCCATCACAATTGGTTCAGGGTCAGGAACCAAATAATTTCATCTAGAAATATGGATGTGCTATATGATTTAATTGTGCCACCACAATGCACAAAGATTGGTCTCAATGAAGGTTGGGGATATGTGTTGGTGATCCCAACATTAGGGGGAGAAAATGAGCAGCTGAAAAAAAAGTAATACATGGAATGAATTATTATGAGTATATAGATCCTCGTACAAGAAAATATGAACTTGAAGTTCAAGTGATAATTCATTTGCAAAATATTTCCATGCGCATTTGCTGACCCAAACTAAATGTCATATTTCAGCTACTAATGCTCCAAATAGAATAAAGTCCATGATGGACATAGTCTATGGAACTCTTGAAGCGTAATAGACTAATCGGTTCCAAAGATAAAACTCCTTGAAGAAGGAGAGGAGCAAATGTTCAAGATGGTCATAATAAGGAGGCAAGTGCTTTATAAGAGCACCATGACATAACATTTTATAAGACCTCATGGGAGAGGCTCAGGTACCTGAAAATAATGAGATCTCGATAAGTTATGTCTTTATTATGCGATGATGGAACCGATGTAAAATGATCGTTGACGATGTTGTTAATATAATGTAGCGCTCAATATTATTAATATTGACGAGGATCTTGAGCTCAAATCTGTCATGGAATTTGGACAGATAAATGATTGGCCAAATGAAAAATATGCAATGAAATTGACTTCACCTGAAAAATGTGAAGTTGGACGGATAGTCGCACACCTGAAAGTGAAATGAAAAATCAAGTCGATAGACATAAAGACGACTTGTGGCACAAAATTTTCGTAAATATCCTGGTATTAGGAGACATGTTCTCCTGTGGGGGGTCTGACAATACATTTGATATGCATATAATGAAAATCCTTGAATGATTTAAATTGTTCTGAAGCATATTAAGGTTCCCAAGAAATTTATTAAATAAATCTTCGGCAGATCCTTATGTAGATTAGAGCGATCATGGCTTACATGATTTATTTTTGTGTCTAGTGCAATTGGTGCACTAATATATCTGGCTAGAACCATGAGTATAACAATATGCTAGCAAGATATAGTTTTATTTCAATGTGGAGATATTGGAATATAATTAG